CACTAACGTTGTACTACCAAGTCGCCAGTTCTCATCTTCCAGCTCCCAAGCTACTCCGCGTACTACAATTGTACTACAAAGTCGCCAGTTCTCATCTTCCAGCTCCCCAACTAGTCCGCGTACTGAAGTTGTACTACAAAGTCACCAGTTCTCATCTTCCATCTCGCCAGATACTCCGCGTACTAAAGTTGTACTACAAAGTCGCCAGTCCTCATCTTCCAGCTCCCCAGCTACTCCGCGTACTAAAGTTGTACTACGAAGTCGCCAGTTTTCTCAGCTTCCAGCTCCACAGATTGCTCGGTTGTACTAGAAAGGCACAATCACCGCAGAGGTTTGCGCGCGCACCGGACAAATCGCACTCTCGCCTGCATTTGGCGCACTCGACACGCACGATCTCCGCAGAGGATTGCGCGCTCTCGCCTGCATTTCGCGCACTCGACACGCACGATCTCCGCAGAGGGTTGCGCGCGCGCCGGACGAATCGCACTCTCGCCTGCATTTCGCGCGCTCGACACGCACGATCTCCGCAGAGGGTTGCGCGCGCACCACGCAAATCGCACTCTCGCCTGCATTTGGCGCACTCGACACGCGCGATCTCCGCAGAGGGTTGCGCGCGCACCGGACGAGCGGCACTCTCGCCTGCATTTCGCGCGCTCGACACGCACGATCTCCGCAGAGGGTTGCGCGCGCACCGGGCGAATCGCGCTCTCGCCTGCATTTCGCGCACTCGACACGCACGATCTCCGCAGAGGGTTGCACTTTCGGTTGACGCTGTTCGTCCCACCCTCCGCCTTTAAGAGAGAATTTATAAAGTGGGAAGATGTTTTTCATTAGGACATCTCCCGTGCTAGTTTTCCATGCTCACACTTGCCTACTCATTGCATGCTTGCATAGTCATTGCATGCTTGCATACTCATCATTACCCTTGCATCACTACACTTGCATACTTTGACACTTGCATACTTTGCACTTAGATGCTTTCGCTCTTCCACTTACACTGGGGTACGTAACACTGGGGTACGTATAGCGCTCATGTTGTAGTGCAAGTGTGGTGGAAGTGTCAGTGTGTAAGTGTAAGTGTCGAAGTGTCAGTGTTCAAGGGATTTTCCGGAAGAACCCTTCGCAATGCTTTCGGGAAAAAGCAAGCGGTTCTGGGATGCTCTGCAAAGCTTCTCAGTGGTTTTGCAAAATCTGCAGATTGATTCAACTCGGCCACAATCTCAGCAAACCGTTCCTTGCTGATCCGCGGCTGCCCCGCCATCAGTGCCTGAAGTCTTTCCTCATCTTTCTGCCTGGATTGAAACGTCCCAAAGACTTGCGCTGCCTGCTTCAGTTCATGCACATCTAGATCCCCTGAGCCGTCCAAATCACACCGCATGGCCACGAAGTGAGGATCCAGCAGTTTTTGCTTCAACTCGGAGCTCACCTGAAGCAGTTCCGACTCCCACTGGTCCCACTGGCACGAATCCGCAGTTGCCATCATGGCAGATCACGGCAGATCACACTGTCTAAACGCAACAGACGAACGAAACCCACATGTCATGTTGGCTTGAGAAGACTCACCGAACGAAACAGTACTGTTTTGCATCATTTGACGCATCACTGGGGCACCCGGTAGAAGAAAAGGTTCACTCACACAAGGTTGAAAGCTACAAGCAAAGGCTCATGGTAGGAGTACTCAAAGGGCAAACAGAGTTCAGCCAAAGACCAGTGCTCGGTCTTTCTGAACCAAAAGGATGGAAGATCTGTAAACATTGTAAACGAGGCAACTGATTCCTGAGCAAGTTGAACTTGTCTTTCAATGATGTATGCTAACATGTGGCGCTAGGAAAAAACACATTGAGCAAGTACGGACAGCCGTAGTTGCTGGGTCAACTGCCTGCAGTGTTTGATGCTGAGAGCAAGAAACAAACAGCGAAAACAACGAAAAACTGAGAATTGGTCTTGTCTATCTGCCAGCTAACTTGGAGTTAAAGGTTTGAAACGAGGGCCAACAACGAGCGCCCATAAGGAATAATGCAGGATGCTCACGAGTGCCAACAGTGAGCAAACAGGGAGCCCAGCAAGTGTGGTCCTTTTGTGCCATGTTCGCTTGGTTCGCCACCTGGGCATATCAAAACCGCTCCACATCCGGTGCCATTCACATCCAAAAGGAATCATCCTCAAGATGGAACCGTTGCTTCGGTGTGTTTAGGTTCCAAGGTTCCAATCTCCGCCGTCGGACCGGCCAGGGCCACCGACCACCGCCTCGTTGCGCTGTTCCACCGGTTCCAGGTCGGCCTGGAGATGCTGCACCAATGGGTTTCAGGGTTCGAATCGATTCCTCCAGTTTCATGACGTTTAAGGAGCGATCGGACGCTACTCGGAGCGATCGGACGCTACTAAAATGAGTTTGGGTGCATGGTCACAAGCTTCTAAGCTTCTGGCTTGGATGACATTGGATGAAAAACAACGAAGGACAAAGAATGACATCGGGTCTGATTCAGTCGTCCATCTCTCATTCAGTCGCATGGCTGACGGCCAAATCAACCTTTGGACGAGCCAATTCCTTGAGAAACCACGGCGTGTTTTCCACGTTTTTGTTCCACTTCCAATGGTTTTGTTGGAGGGAGGGTAGGCTTTCACTCAAGAAAACAAACACCACCAGGACTTGGGTGAGCACCAGTGTGCATGGTTTTGCATAAATCAAGTGTACCCATCTACCACTGAAAAAACGTCAGCTATCATGGTCTAAGGCTGTCCTAATGTCCTAATCCGCCGACCCCAGCCTAGCCGCAGCCTAGGCGGGAGGCGCCTGGGACACCGCAGAGTGCAACCTTGGCATTGGCATCTCCACCTTTGTGGGCTTTAGCACAGGCCACAGCTAGCCTGTCCGAAGCCACGCAGCCTAGGCATGGCCTGGGCTGCCACGTACGGTGCTAGCAGCCAAGGCCAGCCTCTTCTTTTCTAGGCTTCCGAAGGCAACGGCCCCCCTCAAACCCCAAACCCCTCTCGGCGCCTCGCAGGGTGCAACCTTGGCATTGGCATCTCCACCTTTGTGGGCTTTAGCGCAGGCCACAGCTAGCCTGTCCGAAGCCACGCAGCCTATAGGCATGGCCTGGGCTGCCACGTACGGTGCTAGCAGCCAAGGCCAGCCTCTTCTTTTCTAGGCTTCCGAAGGCAACGGCCCCCCTCAAACCCCTCAAGCCCCTCTCGGCGCCTCGCAGGGTGCAACCTTGGCATTGGCATCTCCACCTTTGTGGGCTTTAGCGCAGGCCACAGCTAGCCTGTCCGAAGCCACGCAACCTAGGCATGGCCTGGGCTGCCACGTACGGTGCTAGCAGCCAAGGCCAGCCTCTTCTTTTCTAGGCTTCCGAAGGCAACGGCAAACCCCTCAAGCCCCTCTCCTTTAGCGCAGGCCACAGCTAGCCTGTCCGAAGCCACGCAGCCTAGGCATGGCCTGGGCTGCCGCGTGCGGTGCTAGCAGCCGAGGCCAACCTCTTCTTTTCTAGGCTTCCGAAGGCAACGGCCCCCCTCAAGCCCTCCTCGGCGCCTTTGGCCGCAAACCTGCAACGCAGCTAGGCATTTTGCCCGTACGTTAGCTTTTCATCGCTCGTCCGCGGTGGACTTGAGGGCTTCTAACTGCCACCGTGCCAACACCGGACCACGCCCACAGACCAGCGACCGTTCGTAAGAAGCAGTGATGTCAGCACCTGGGCTGCATCACCGCAAGCCTCACCTGGTCAGCTCTGAGCTGCCAGGCAAGGCCCTCACAAACGGTCGCCGATCCGCGTGCGTTGTCCTTTGTTGGCCAGATGGCCATTGGAATCCACAAATTCCAAATTCATCAAGTCATGTCAAAACCACTGCCCCTGCAGCACCCCAGCCCACCACGACCGTGCATAGTACTTGCACTCCCTAGCTTCAGCCTCCTAAGGCTAGAACGCCCATCTTCTTTCCACAGACGGGCTACCACCGGAACTACACAAACGCCTTCAGTTACACATGCTACACTCCTCCTGAAAAGGGGTCGGCGGCACCCGGGCGAAGCCCTTACAATTTGATCCTGTACCCTAAAGCTCCTGATCCTCCCCACGGCGGCTCTCTCCATTACACCTGGAGCACCTACATTCGACCTACGGGCGTAGGTCTCCTGTTCCTTTTTCATGGCAGGACACTCATGCGTCTGGACACTCAAACACAAGCTATATAGAGATCCCCAAGAAACGCGTACAACAATGGACCTGGTAAAAGCAGTGGCCTCTTGCGCTCTGAGAGGCAATACTTGAGGCCGAGGGTAGCTGACGAAAGCTAGCAGGGATGCATCAGTGTCAGTGGAGGCGAAGCATACAGCGCCGTCCAGTGACAAAGGACTGGTGGGACATCAAGCGGAGTGAGGCAAATCTTTTTTCATAGGCATGGGGCTGTTGGAGGGATGGTTCACAAGGTCTCGCTCATGAGAGGTAAAACGTTGTGAACATGTAAGACACACGAACAGCAATGACACAGCCAACCTTAGCCTGTTGAATCTCTTGCATCGTATCCCAAAACCTCCACGGAGGAGTTGAACCAAAGTGGATGCCATAAGAAGTGTCCAAGAGGTGTCCCAGAGGCGTCCCAGGGGGGAGTTGAACCCGCGGGGGGGGGCCCTCTATATATGAAGTTTTCACGTGATGTGGCGATCTCGAGAATTCCAGCCCCTCACTTGCTAAAGCAAGGACAACACCAGCTAGCTGCTGCTAGCTTTCGTGATGAGCGCCCGACAAATTATTGATTTGGTTGTTTAGTCAGGGTGCGACCATTATTGATTATATATCTATCCATTGTTTCCATGAAAAACGATACAGTTTCCACAAAACAAAATGATACTCCAACCATAATGCTGTCGGTGTTGGACAATGATATGGGCCCTACCCAAAACGATAATCACCCAACATATCCAAAATAGCAGTTATTAAGCTACACAAGTCATAGGGAGCCCGCCGCACCTGCATGTATGTCGCATCAAAATGGGGAGACTCCCACAGCCATACGCCATGTCCGTACAAACTGGTCATGGACACACCGAAGCAACTCGTTTTGGGTCTATCTCCCTTTGGCTTTCTCTACACTCACGAGAGTCACCAAAAAACAATAACACAACCAACACGTCCTAAAACACGATCTGAGCACTCCAAAGATGACTCCAGCCTCTTGCATCAAGACTTCCTGGCTGCGCCCGCCCAGCTAGGCTCCGCACCCCACAAATGGGATGGATGGATGGTGGGAGACATCTGAACTCAGCCAAACAAGTACACCTTTCAGGTGAATCTTTGCTTTGGATGCTTTGGTCAAGAAAGGTACGGTAAACTGGATAACCCAAACAAGTATTGTGTAGATATAGTATGTCATCACTGGAGATATCCCAATACCTCAGTTCCGCAGGCAACGACGGAATTACCTTCGAATCTCTAGGTTGCGCCATTCAATCCGATCATCGTGGCCGACGGTTTCATTCAAATAAGTATAAGTCTAGCATAGCAGTTCTGGTAGAATTCGTCCACCCAGTGTTTGATTGTACCGAAAAATGTTCGACAACACGTCCCATTTGAGCCTAACCAGCTTAGCCGAGCTTCTCTGGAAAAACTCTACAATAACAACGAGCCTCAGACTCATCTCTGCTTTTTCACAAAAGCAAAAACAAACCGCAAAGCTGCGCCAGTAGCCGCACACCCAGCGCCCGCACCCTGACACGCTGGCTCTGACGCGATCGGGGTGACGCGATCAAGCGAAGCGGATGGACCTGTTGGAGGAAGGCGATATGTCTTTGCTCCATGCGGCTCAAAGGCCGAGTCCAACTGTCCTGGATCACACGCTTTTTCAGTGGAACTGGGACAGTTTGTATATTGTATTATATGATGTCAAATGTATTCATTACATAGATTCCTGGAACCTCTTGGCCTGAATTCCATGTTCTTGGAACAAGTTGCAAACATGTTGCAAGAGATCGTCTTGGAATCGAACACCCGAGTTCTGAGGAGGTTTCTGGGTGTACACTGGGCTGACGAAATGACCCAGCAGGGTGTCGTAGAGCAATAACAACATGGGGTTTAAGGGCAAAGGACTTTATGCCTCTTGCAAAAGGACATTACACACATGTGAGCATGAAACAATAAAATAGATGACTTTGGGTGTGTAGTATGCGGCCTTCTCCAAGTATTAAGTATAGACCAGAAAACGGGATAATTTAACAAACTCCCTACTGTAGTGACCCCCATGTTCGTCATTTTCAAATGCACTACAAACAAATGACCACATGAACCCAGGCCAATCACAGGGTCGGTATTTGGAAACACATTGGCCAATGTTTAAAAAAATGATCAATGAACATATAATGTGTCTTTTCCGGGCTAGATGGAACTTCTTCTATTTCGCACAACATATTTGCGCCACCCGAGAAACCTCACACGTGGCCCGGGACTCCCTGAGACAACCTTTTGGGACTGTTTGGGACCAGAGGTTGTTCATCATTTCGAAAAGTGAAAGTACTTTGATTTAGATCATACTAAGATCAGTAATTATGATGATATTGAAGTGGTTAC